CATGGTGGCGCGTGCCTGTAGTTCCAGGTACTTGGAAGGCTGAGGCAGAAGGATCACCTGAGTCCAGCAGGTCGAGACTGCAGTGGCCATGAGCGTGCCACTGTACTCCAGCCTGGGTGACAGAATGCAGAATGAGACTACAACTCAAAAAATAATAATAATAATAAAGTAGGTGCCCTCACCCTCTAATTTTATCATAATTTCTATAATAGCATTTATTACAATTTACATTTATTTATGTGCATGCTTACTTGTTTGTTATTTTTTTCCCTCATCGAGACTTCAAAATTCATATAAGGTAGACTGTTTTGTTCAAATTTTCTCCTGTGATCCTAGCATGGTGTCTGACAATGAACTTTCAGATAAAACTGTAAATCTTCAATTAATATGTTCAAACACATTAGGAATTCTTTTGGTTTCGTTTTCTTGTTAGAGACATCCTGCACAGAGCTTACAGTCTTCCAGTTCCATATTGGGTAGATTGTTCATTAGGTCTGTGGCACGCTCATGGCCACTGCAGCCTCAACCCACTCTTTTAATCATAGGACTTGTCTATTATTCTGAGAATTCTTTTTCTTCCCATCATGTCTTGGATCCCATTGTTTCCTGAACCTTGGTTTACACTTGTGGTTTGGTAGTATACATCTTCCAGTAGCTTTTTGAGAAAGGATATATGGGAGGTAAATTTTTTGATAGTTTGCATGTTTGAAAATGTCTTCTCCAGCTTGACCAACATAGCGATACCTCATCCCTACCAAAAATCAAAAAATTAGCTGGGCGTGGTGGCATGTACCTGTAGTCTTAGCTACTCAGGAGGTTGAGGTGGGAGAATCTCCTGAGCCCAGGAGACTGAGGCTGCAGTGAGCCATGATCTTGCCACTGGACTCCAGCCTGGACAACAGAACAAGACCCCGACTCCAAAAAAAAAAAAGAAAAGACAAGGTCTTCTATCTCCACATGGGTATTCTAGGCTGGAAATCAGAATTCTAAGGCATTGCTTCTTGTCTTCAATTTCTAGCTTACCTATTGAAGTGTGTAATATTTTGTTTCTTTCTTTCTTTTTTTTTTTTGAGTCAGGATCTCACTCTGTTACCCAGGCTGGAGTGCAGCAGTGCAATTTAGGGCTCACCACAGACTCAACCTCCTGAGATCTGGTGATCCTTCCATCTCAGCCTCCTGTGTAGCTGGGACTACAAATGGATACCACCATACCCGGCTAATTTTTTGATTGCCATTATGTTTCTTAATTATTTGTATGTTATCTGGGTTCTTCCTCCCCTCTCACACCTTTATGAACATTTTCAAGTCTCCTTTTTTTCCTTAATATTCTGTAAACCAACCAAAAAAGTACCATAAATCATAAGATAATTCAGCAAGGTAGCAGAAATTAATAGACGATATAATAGGAAAAAAATCTCACTTTACAAAACTGGTACAGATGATAAACTACCCAGAAATGAACTTAACAAGGGCACAAAGCTCACTCATCTTTTTATTTTTTTCCTGGCTCTGGGTCTTGCTTAGAAAGGCCTTCCCTGCTTGGCTGGGCATGGTGGCTCAGGCTTGTAATACCAGCACTTTGGGAGGCAGAGGCGAGAGGATTACCTGAGCCCATGGATTTGAGACCAGCCTGGGCAACATGGCGAGACCTCGTCTCTACAACAATAAATAAAGAAATTAGCTGGGTGTGGTGGCACATGCCTTGTAGATCTTTTATCAGAGGAGGCCTTTTTTTTTTTTTTTTTTTTCTCAAAACCAGAGTCTTACTCTGTTGCC